GCTTGGTTCTTGATTTACTTAAGCTTAAATCTGATTGAATCAAGAGTATTTTTTCTTTTCGATATTTTTAAGAGTCTGGACTCTAGATCCAATGTGTTTTTTTTTCCAGTGAACGGAAACCATCGAGAGACTCCGAAGTTGGTCCATCATTTTCCCCCTAAGTCTACAACAACCACCCGTTTAAACCAATACGATCGCTCTATGTTCCCTATGTCTTCCTTGTCTGTCACTTTGTCTATCAATTCAATAATCAGCCCGCAGGGGTCAGCAGACCCCTCGCGAGGTCCCCTTACTTCCCGAAACCTAGAATTTTCCAGGCAAACGTGATTGCATTTTAAATTCGGCGCTGGAGCGATCTATTAACTAATGCGTCTGATTCTCTATGCATGAGGATTCCTCGTGAGCGGCGAGCGCTTGGAGTACTGCCGTGCTAAGGAAAAACGCCGTATGAACAAAAACGCCGTATGAACCTTCAGGCGTTGTCAAATTTCCTCTGACAAATCACTAATTTTCAGGAAAATTTTTAAATATTTTTCTGCCAATATCTGATATAATTTTGCTTGTACTTTGATCTAAATAGTCTGAAAATTTCAACAAAAAATATTCACAATTTTCCTCAAAAATATACATTTTATCGTAGGAAATTTGGCAACTCTCGAATGTTCATACGGCGTTCTTCCTTAGCACGGCAAAGTAGGCCAAGAATGGACGAACGCATTCGCGAGACAGCGTCGAATTCACGCGACCAATCTCGCGGTTTCCCGAATCCCGACTTCCCCGATGGTCGGGGCATTCTGACGGACCCCCACCTCTCCCCCGGCCAAGAGGTGCATCTCCTGCTATTTCACCGCGGCCACATTTTCCGGAGGACTCGAATTTTCCACGCCTTCGAAGCGTCGCGAAAAGCCGTCGCCCGTCGCACGGCGAAATAAATCATCGCTATGGGAGAGACGCGAATCGACGAAGCCATCATTGGGCGACGTACCCTCCCGACTAATTGGAATACATTTTGCGATTCGGAACTGTAATTTCTGGCACAGTTCAGAAACAACGTACGCACCATTAGTTTCTCTATGCACATACATGTTTTTACAGATGAGCCAGAAATTATAGTTCCGAATTGCAAAATGTAGTCCAATTGTAAGCATTGGCCGAGTTTTTCTTTATGCGCTGATTGTCAGAGGTGACGGGATAATACTTACAAGGGAAAATGGAGAAGAAAAAAAAAAAAAAAAAAAAAAAAAAAAAAAAAAAAAAAAAAAACGAAAAAAAAAAGAGAGAGGAACGCATTTTGCGTGGTATATCAATGAAGAAATAGTAGAAAGTACAACAAAACGCTTTGTTTATGTATTATAATTTATTCATCCATCTTATCATGTATCAATCGCTTTCCATCAAAAATCGTATCATTAATAAATGCTAATACAAAAAGCAATGCGTGTTTCAGTGTACTATCTACCTGTGTCTTCTTAAAAAAAAAATAAAAAATAATAATTAAAACCCTGAAAGATGCTGTCTAGACAGGCAGATTTTTTTTTTCAAATTCCCCGATATTTCCTTGATTTCTTTTTTCCACGAGAGTATTTCCTTTGTAAAACTCGGAGTTTTCTCTCATTTTCCTTCCGATTCTCATAGGGAAAAACCCGGATTTTCCGCAAAAAGTTCGCGGAAAAAATCAAATCCTCTCTTATTCGACTACTTTTTTAAATCCCCAACACAGCACAAATTTTAATAATGGATTAATTTTAGGAAGGGGAAAGAGCATAGTCCCGGGGTTTAGCACCAATTTCAAGACGAATTCTCTAATTTCTCCAGATATTTTTCATTCCGTGATGAATGTGTTTCCCGATTTTTCCAGGCTCTAGACACATTGAACTTAAAATGAAAAAAAAATGGAGTAGGACTTACAAAGGGAAAGCAGGTAGAGAGAAAACACAAATATAAAGAGAGAAAGGAACAAGAGCAAGGAGGAAAAACTTAAAGAAGAGGATAGAAAAATATTGAGGGGAAAAATATGCAAAAAAAGAATAATATAAATTGAAAATAGTAAAATCGAAAATAGTTAGTAAGTTAATTCATTACGACAATCAGTTTAGAATATGATACTCCAACAAATATATATACTCAATAACGGAAATTTTAAAGCTCATAAAGCAAGTAAATAAGAATTTTAGGTAAATTCCTGGTCTCCGACGTAGATAGCCTGGTTGCTGATCGTCGCAATAAATTAATTAACCAACTAACGATTCTATTAATGTCTTCGTTTCCGATCGAAGAATATGCTTATGATAGAATACAAAATAAGCAGAATAAATAAGGATAGAAAAAAAGAAAAGTCAAAGCAGAATTTAAGAGAGAAAATTTGAAAAATTACCGCTTCTATTTGATCTTTCAAGAGAAAATTAGTGGGCACATTTGCATACGAAGTTTGAGAGGAATGTATGTATTCTTTTGCAAAAGCAAAGGAAATTCACGCGGAATATCGTGCGACAACGATAGTTAATCGTCCCTCAAGCCTCGTCTCCAAGGGACGTTTCATGGGATTTGTCCCGAGGAAAAATCTCACTTGCGAAGTTGGGAAAAAAATTGAGTTAGTCGATACTAATCACAGTGCCAACTTGGAGTCATTGTGGAGTCCCAGGAGCGACTTAAAAAGAAGAAATTTTGCTATGTTGTTCAACGGGGAAAAAGCCCAGAAGTTTCATTCCTGTGATTCAAACGTGGGAAAAATCCCGTGAAACGGGGCGTTTGCACGGGGCGTGCAGATGGGGCGTCACAAAAATAACTTTGATAAAGAATCTGAGACCGAGACATAGATTACCGAGTCTTGATCATCCGCGATTTCGAATATCCGCGGTTAACGGAAAACGCGTCGCGCCAAAAAACTTCTAGAATCAGCGGCTTCCCACTTTCCTTTATTTGCGTTTAAAAAAGGCTAATGGAAAAATCTCCTCTCATACTTGCGCGCTGAGGCATTTTCTAAGCCTCTAACTATAACCACCACCCTATGATTAACGTGGATCCTTGGAGTTTTGGAAGGCGAATGGACATACTGCCGCACTAAAAGAGAACGCCGTATGAACCTTCAGGCGTTGCTAAATTTCCTTTGATAAAATACGAATTAATTGGGAAAGTTTCAAAAATTTATCTTCCAATTTTTCAGTCAGGTTTGTCCGTAATTGCATCTAAAATATCGGAACATTTTAAGTAAAAATATGCCCAACATTCCTAAAAAACATATATTTTATTGGGGGATATTGAGCAACCCTCGGGTGTTCATACAGCATTAGATCAGCAACAAAGGAGGGGGCGCTATTCAGCGTTTCAGATTCGCGCCAAAGTTTTCAGGACTGGTTTTTCAAAACTATTAAGATTTCAAATAACGGAGCCGGGCACATACCTAATAATGTAGTTGGCGCTGAGGGTAATTTTAAAAGAAAACGAATGCTTTTTAAAACACATACGCGCGTCGCTTTTAGAGGCTAGATCGCTTGCGAATTGTCCCAATGCGATTGCCGCGGCTTCAGATATGCGGGAAATTTTCCCTTCTTGAATGTTTTAAGATATCTTCAGGCCTGAGGAAAAGCTTCAGGACTATTCGACGATTAAAAAAAAAAAAAAAAGTTAAATAAAAAAAGGATGGAGCCTTTCGCTCTTGTTGTCGAAATTAATTTAAAAATTCAAATCGGCATGTATAAAATTGACCAGAATTCCTCTAACGAAAACCGGCATCGCAAAAAAAATTGGCAAAACGATTTATAGTGCATTACACGGTGGGTACATAATTTGAGAGGGTGCTCCAAATTTTACACTGCGACCAGCGATCTAGAGGTTTTATGATCCTTGAGTTTCAGCAACCCTACACAGCTTGAAAAATCAACTGAAGGAGTAAATACGCTGTAGGGGTAAGATTCATTAGGTAGGAAATACACTTTTGACCATCCATGTGTAATAGGGCCTTAGATCACGTAAGTATTAAGAGAACGATTTTTGTACTTAAAGTTGAGTAAAAAATACGGTTTTCAGTTTCCTGTAACAAGTGTGTTCTTGGATTTTAAAATACCTTGACTCATCCTGACATTTCAGGTTTTTTTTAACATAATATTCCCTGAATTTTCCATTTTCTTTTCCAGCATGATCTCTCAAAAAAATTATTTTCACGATTAAAAATTCAGGCAAAACACTCCTGAAATTGCAAAAATGCAATTTTTTCGGCTGGAGGATTTCAAAGTTCCGTAGCTTAAGTCCCTGAATTCTTATGATTGCAAGTAAAGTTCCCTAAGCCTTTCACAGTTCCTCACCAAAAGGAAAAGTGATTAGGGGGTTGCGCTCATCTTTTGCATCTAAGTATTTTTTTTTTTTTATTTGAAATTATCGCATAATTTTGATGATAAAAAAAAAAAAAAAAAAAAAAAAAAAAAAAAAAGCCTGGTGGCTAGGTATTGAAGCTAGGTCAGTACCTACATTTATATTTTTCAGCAAGAGACATACCAATTTACAAATGAGTTTTTCTCTTTTAATTATACTCAGATGTTGGCATTCAGCTAATTTTTCTAAAAAAAAGAAGAAAAAAAAATTGGAAAACATGTGCCTCAGCAAATAAATTAATAAGCTAGGAATGTATTTTAGTGCTTTCAAACGATACCTTTGACCAATCTGAGTAATTCTTCTATTAAAAAATTACACCTAGATATTATTTGAGATTTTTTTTTAATGTAACTACTGCTCAAAGAATAGTTTCTATCGGGAGAATATTTGAGTTGAATATATTTTAAGTTTTTTGGATTAAAAAAAAGAAAAACAAGAGAGAAAAAAGCTAAGGATCTAGTCACTTAGATGGATGTTCTAGTTATTTAGATGGATGTTCTTTGCGAAGATTGAGCGGGACATTATCATAGAACTATATACCAAAATATATCTTACCAAAGTATGATTTGGCTTCCAGCACCGAAAGGCAACCCACACCAACAAAAAAAATCTAGTGAAAATGTTTGACTTACGTTTAATCCTTGCATCTTCCGGAGTTGAACATTCAGTCCTTTCCGATCCAGGGGTTCCAGCTCCATCACGATCATCACCAGCACCATCACAGCTCTCATCCTTTGCAGCTGTGCTTGTGGGCGACACAGATACACTTGCTGGGGAACTGGAGTCTCCTCGCTGATAATGTCCCGGCGAAAACATATCACTACCGTTATTATTATCGAGTAAGGAACTATTCATGGTATCAGCGTCCATTTTTAAACACTTGGGAGGCGCGAAAGCCGAGGGGAAGTTTTTGTTGGCAGAGGAACTCAATGGCTGAAAAGCACCGGGGCCAAATGAGTTTCGCGGATCGAGACTAGGGTGTAAGAATTGCGGCTGGAGGTGGTGTAACAAGTGGGCAGGCAAGCCAGGATAGGAGTCGATGAGCCGCAGCCCAAAGCTTGACGCGTGGAATGGGACTTGAATATCTTTGGAGTCAGCCTAGGTACAACAAATGGAAAACAAAATGTATGAATTAAAAAAATATTCATTCCAGGAAGTCGAAGCTAAATCACTGCAACCATTTACAAATTAACACAGGATTTCAAGCAGCAGAAACATGCCTCATGTCATGTCATGTTTCGGCCATACATTTTCAAACAATGCTAATTTTTTTTTTATGACTATGACGGTTTTCCCAGAAACAAAATAGTGATAGTATCTGGAATGTGCACAAATCTATAGTCTTCTCTCAATTTGATTTGAATTCAAGAAACAAATCGACTCGCAATAATTTTTTAACATCTGATGAAAGGCAAGAATTGGCATTTTTTTCCTGCTTGTATGAAAATAAAACTTTGGTTGTGTTGCATGACAGTAGGATATTAGATGCTCATTGAAAAAAATTCCAAAAAGTTGCTGAGTATTTGATCAATTACTATTTAGTTCTTAAATTCCGTAGGTAAGAAGTCAAGTAATTTTTTTCTCACAATAAGCAAAAAAATTCTTCTTTGATAGACTATCATGCTGAGGCTTACAAATGTGCATAATTGAGAACGTTTCCTTCATAAAATTTACAAATTATCTTCAACCATCGAAATTTTAGGGTCATCTTTGGAGAATCTCTTCTTTTTACACTGAATTTCACCTTTGACCACATGAAAGAATACAGATTGTATGATAGGTGTTCTTGCTTTAAAACGGTGGAAATAGCGTGGATTTTCAAGGAAGAATCAAATTTCTGGATTACTGTTACTTCCAGTAAACCTCTGGATCTTTATAACAACAATATCATTCCTTGCAATTCAGCATAAGTTTTCAAATCTCAAATAATATTGATAGATTTTAACTGAGCTGCTTATTAGCAAAATAAGGTTGTTTAAAGAATACAATTTAAAATTACCTGTGTATTGAATGGTCTCTGAAGTCTCAACGTCTCAGTTAAGCCCCCAGCTTGCGAGAATACTACTAATCCAGGCGGTGGTAACGGATTTGGAGCGTAAGCGGAATTTTCCATCTGGAAAATAGAAAGGAGCTCCGTTACGAAACACAACATTAGATTGACACAGGGCAGGAATCAGTTGCATTGAACAGAATATTTTCTCAACAAATCAGGGGCTGGACAATCACTATGAACTAAAGAGAGAGAAAGGATTACTAAAGGATTAAAATTACTGATGTTCCAACGGCATAGATCAGACGGTAACTTGGATATGAACTGGAGTTTGATCAACTCACCCCCTTGACAGGAAAACATTTGCAACCAAATACACTTACTCATAACTCTGATTCCTCTATAAAATACACATATAACTGGTATTCAAGCCCAAGCATTTATGTATAAAATTGGGGGGAGGAAGAACATATTTAATTGTGAAAAACAAATTATCAGTATTTTCACACAATCGGGATGTAAACACTTTTGTATATAAACATTGCACTGAGGGTAACATAACCTAACTCAAGCCGCACACAACGAAACACATGTTTTCGGTGTGATTACATTTATGACAGTTGATGATATGTTGATACAAGCGAAGTTGAAAAAATTTAAAGAGATTGCCTGCTTTCAGGAAAAATTTATCTGGTAAAAAATTATACTGTGGGGGATTTAAAATTTGTGAAAAACTTGGAAGAATCGACAGGCTGGGAGGAGAGGGGCTCGGAATCGTAGGTAGAGAGAGTACCTTTAATGTGTTTTTTGGGACTAAGGTAAATAAAAAATTAATTAACAGGAAGTAAAAACATTGCACATGCACTTTGAAAAATTTTTTTGAGAGGTAATTCCTTCTCTGCAATCTTCTAAATGAAGACTACACGGGGTAGCTACTTACCAAACAGACGAAGATTTCACGCACTGAATTCTGGGTAAAAGAGAGATGGCGGGAAAATGAACATTTCAAATATTAGTTCCACAGATATCCACCGCGCGCCACTAGTCGGACAAGTTTGTTTAGAAAAGAAGCTTTTCACCTGCCATTTCATGAGACAGGTAACCTGCAAAGATTATGTTTTTTGAAGAACAACGTATCAAATAAATGGAGTTGAAGTGCATTGTATAATCTTTTTTCATAAAGAAGTGATTGTTTACATCGAAGGTGTAGGACGCCTTCGAAGCGAGGTGTTTGCGGATGCGGTGTTTTGGTCTTTGAAGTCATTTTCTATTTTACACAGCAATGTTATTGTTTGAAATTTTGTGATTAGTGATTTTAATATGTTGAATTTTAGAAAATGTATTATATCAAATTTGTGCTGTATTTTCGAGTGTTCTTCTGTCGGTTGAACTATTTCTCTCCCTGTTAAAACGACGGCTTAAAACCTTTTGTGATGTGACCAACTGAGCTCTGTCCTGTCATGATGGTTTGAAATACAAGTGCACTCATGTGGAGAGTTTGGAATCTAAAAACCGGTATTTCTACAGGGTTATATGCAGCATTTGTCTTAAATGCAGATCCACCATTCATTTTACATTTCCCTACTTATTTTCATCCTTCTGAACCCAACAACGCAGCTGCAAAATGGTAAGTGCATCGTAACGAGCCTCGAAGGTGTCGAACGCTCTACCTCAGTTTGTCTCAGATTCTATAGTTTTTAATTCACCCAGACTTCTAGAATTGATGGTCTACGTTCCCATAATAATTATAAGTTGAATCAACCCATTATATCTGTACCAAAAGTTAACTATATGTGTTCTCTAAGAGCTTGCGTGTTGTATGCTTATTAGCATAAATCATACAACTTTTTTTCATATGGTTGCGATTATAATCATTGAATGAAGTTTGCGCTGTCATGTGAACCTTGAGCTCTATTAATACATTACATCCACATCCCCACCAACCGTACTGAGATCTTATTTTGACAGGAAAAAGATACTTTAGAAGGCATCAAGCAAATTATATATTAAAACTGGTTTTGTTGTTCATTTTTTACATTTAACGAAACCAACACTCGGAGAGAACGCAAGCTGTTTGTCCCTGGATAGTATTTTTCAACTCTGAAGATTACAGTTAATTTGTATAGTACTTACACCTTCGTATCTTGATCGCCTTGAAATGTTTAGTTTAAGTTTCTTCGTGACAATGGCCATCGACACATAGAAACTTAAACTAGACATTTCATGGAGATTGTGATTCAAAGGTCTACTACACAAATTGAAGATGCTGGGTAGTGACATACTTTCTAAATTACAATTAATGTTAAATGTATACTCATACATGTACTATACGGACGGTGAAACTACCAGACCGCATATCTCGGTTTGAGACGTTGTAAACTTCCTGTCATATTTCTTTTTTTTAAATGAAAAAGTAATCAATGAAAGCTATTGATAACTGCCCTGATTTTTCTTCTCTGCAAAAAGAAAACTCAGTGAAAATTTCCAAGAATGATATTTACTTGTTCTCTTTTAAAAGAATAATATGGGAGGGGAGATTTTTAAACACCGCAAACAAGATACATGGTCAGGTAGTTTCACCATCAATGTATTTTTGACGCATTTGGAAAGCCACTGTGCACAGAAACCAAATGAAGCATCATCTCATCTTACAGTTGCACAGGTACTCAGTGTTTAATTTGCTAGTACACAGGCAGCGAAATTAGCAATATCTGAAGGCGTAAGTTTTGGAAGGAAACAGTGCAGTAACCCTTTATTCTGCAGATGAGTAAAATTTGCACTTTTTTCCGTGTTATTAATATAGCCTTCCATTTGTGATAGATAGCAGAACTCACCCCTTTGATTTTCTTGCAGGTGGCCCAGCTCTCTTGTATACAACAGTTAAAGATGTGAGATTCGCGAATATGTCCAACCCTAGGAAAAGCAATATCATCTTCAAAGTGAGTGCATCCAATTTACTTCTACTTTAAGGGATTTTTTAATTTAAAAAATAACCTTTTTTAGTTGTGGGTTAAAAGGAACATTCTTCTTAAAGTGCAGTCTCCCAGGAAGTTAAGAAACATCGATATATCTCACAAATTTTGCTAAAACACAAGTTTTACTTTTCGCTCTTTGTAAAGATAGCTGAAACAGTGTCCAAGCATATTTCAGCAGTTGATCGGTGAAAAATCTCTTCTAAAAACCCTAAATCAAAGCTAAATGAGACTTAACCGGAAAATTCTAGTATGATTTGACTAATCAACTGCAATATTTTGCGTTGAGTCTCATTTGGTTTTAATTGAGTGTTTTCGGAAGAGATTTTTCACCAATAGACTGCTGAAGTATGTTTCTACACTGTTTCAGCTCCTTTTTTACAAAGAGTGAAAAGCAGAAATTTATTATTAGCAAAATTTGTGAAATACCTCGATATTTGTTTACTTTCTGGGAGGAATCACCACAAAGGGCTTTTCTTTTATCCGAACCGCAGAGGATCGCTACGGAATGCATCACTGTTTTATCCTGTTCCACTGGTGCGTTCCAGCCCATTCCATCTGTTCCCGTGAAACACTTGGACCGCTCTTCCAAGGTGGGTTGAGGCCGCGGCGAGGCGGTCGAACAGGCCCAAACCGCAAAGATCCCGATACATCGCGCTCCACGGATAAAAAAAAAAAACCCTTAAGAAAAAGCCCACAGACAATATATTTAAGAGACCCTGCATTGCTATCTCCCCGCTTTGTAAAAGTTACTTTTGAAAGTCAAGGCTCAGATTAGCCTAATGACTGTTGACCGAATAGTCGAACAATCCTATCCTACTTTGCAAAAACTTTGCTCAGCAAAGTGCTTGTCCGAACACTCATCCGTCATCATCAGGTGAAAATTAGCATTGACATCAGAAATGAACTTTTGCCCCACCTCATCTCATTGCTATTTCTGATTCTTTAATGTGAGTACTTCGGTCTTTCTGTGAGTGTACAATGCTACTAAAATCAAATCATCAGTCATAGTGCTTGAATGGAGAATGTCCTAGCCTGGAATCATCAAAAACTAAGATATCAAATCCCCTCTTAAAATTTTCTATAACAAAAATCCTTTCATCAACTCTACATTCAGCTCTTATTTTCTGTGGCTTCTAGGACTCTGGAGATGGTATCGTAGCTGTGGACTTCTACTACAAGGGCTCTCGGGTTTGTTGGACAGATCGCTTCTTAGGAACAATTCAATGTGTTCACTACAATGGCTCTCAAGCCAGAGAAAAGGTATGTTATCTGTCAGTTTCTTCTTACTTACCTACGGCACTCACGATCGATTATTTGAGAACAGTTAAAGCTGTTACTCAATTTTTGAATATTTATGTAAACATTAAACGATTCTCAGGTTAAAAATATAGCTTGAATCGAGATAAAATCCCTCACTCCAAAGTCAATTGAGTTAAGAAGGTGTTCAGATTCCTTTACAGCAGGGAACAACATGCATGATCTTAAAATTATGTCATAGCGCTCACTAGGTTTTCCAATTTATCAATCGAAAAAAAGAAAACTCAAAAATCTCGAAAAGACTCCTTACATAAATCGGCCAGTGAATAGGATATTACATACTGAATGAGTGTTTTGAAGTCTTTTATTTAAACTTATTGAAAAAGTCAATATCGCAAAGGTAGGAAAAATAAATTTGCTCTGCACAAAACGTCTAAAATTGATGAAGTCATTTATTATTCCTTGTAACTAACAAAATTCAGTCAAAACTTATTGTTTATCTAGTTTTGTAAGTTTGAATACTCTCTCAATCTATTTTTTATCTTAATTCCTATGCGCACTTCAGGTTACTGTGATAAATGAGGGGCTCATTTCGCCTGATGGTCTTGCTTGCGATTGGCTCACGGGTAAACTGTACTGGACCGATGGTGAAACAAACAGGGTTGAAGTTGTTACCATAGATGGAGAGCACCGCAGAGTTCTTTTCTGGGATGAAATCGACCAGCCACGAGGGATAGCTCTCGCTCCACTTGATGGGTAAAAATCCTTCTCAACTTTTTTGTGATCTTTTTAACATTTTATGTAATGCAGAGTGAAATCAGGGGAGAGTTTGGATTGGTGGGATATGAAAGATTTTTTACCTAAAATACACTAGTAAAATATTTCTGTACCCAACAAATAAATTCAGATTGGTTCAATTACATTGTATCAAAATTTAACGGTATCAATTGAGTAAATTAACTTTACTTAAGGTGTCCTGATGAAACTTTGCAGTCTGACCCCCTTCTTTTTGGTTTCTAAAGTATTGACACATGCAGCCTGGAGAACGTAACGAAAGGCCCCCCCCAGACGGCTGGTAAATGCTTCTCCTACCCCAGATGCTAATCCAATCTCAGAGCGGTTCTCATGTCCAACATTATTGGCTCCCTGAGGACATTATTGTGCTTGTATAAGCATTTTTTCCTTTATGATGGGAATTCAACATTTCATTGTGAATTAAATGTGGGATGGCAAATAAGCCATCAACACGTGGGTTCGGCAGCAACTGTTTACAACTCCACTCATGAATCTGAATAATTCACTATGACTCTTAATTTGTACAAACATTTTTACAGGTTGATGTTTTGGACTGATTGGGGCGAGGTCCCAAAAATTGAAAGAGCTTCGATGGATGGCAATATAAGTTCCCGGAAAGTAATCGTCAACGAAAATATCTTTTGGCCAAATGATATTTCTATCGATCATGCAACGAAGCAAATTTATTGGTGCGATGGGAAGCTGAAATTTATTGAGGTATTCCACTTTTCTTTTTATCTCTTTACATGCTTCAAGACCCAATCTGGTCTTGAGTCACTTTTTGCTGATTCCTCGATTTCTTTTTACTGTCACTTCTCTGGCATCAGGCACAAGCTCAGATTTAGTCAGAATTTTTTACAGATAGGGAAAAAGTGATGCTGGACTGCTGACTATAGAACAATTGAATGTCTCTTAGTGCTTGTCATCAGTGGGTTGTTAAGGACCCGAGCCAGTTTGGAAACCCAATACTTAATACCATGTTCTACCATTTTTTTTTATATTCCTAGTTTTCAATGGGAAGAAGCGTTTATGGGTTGATGATTGTCGAAGACATTAGCTCACAAAGTAACAAGAAAAAAATTACCAAGAGCGGTGCCAGATATTTAAATATTCAGACAAAGCTGCATAACTGAGAGAAACATGGTCCAGTCACATTTTCAAACTGGTTGACTTCATGTAGAACATTCATAAGGGGTGTTGGTAATCGAACTATTCTTTTACATAAGTGGGTTCTTGGTTCTTTTTCAGTAAGATCTGAATGCAATTAATCTTGATTTCTGGTGTCTCACTTTTTTAGGTGATGGATTTTGACGGGAGAAACAGGAAAGCTGTCATATCCGATAAAGGCATCTATCCATTCGCATTATCAATCTTCTTAGACAAAGTTTATTGGACAGATTTTAGAACATTGTAAGTTTTTCATCAACTTCATCTTGTTTCTGCAGTGCCTTCTGCAAGTTTATTGTTGATCTTGAATTTATTCTTTAGTTCTCTCTCCTTTTTTTTAGCTGCAAGAGTTCGCTAATCATTAATGTCCAGAGTTTTTTGACTCATTGTGGAAATTCAGTTTTGATGAGGCCTTTTTACGTTCCATAAGGAGTTTTTGTTATCAAGACTTTGGAATGAAATAAAATCCAAGTTTCATAACTTATCGTAGCTTTTCAAATTATTGCGAATCATTAGGACTAATAAAAGAAATAAAATATAATCAACCAAAAAAGATAACCTTACTTGTGAAAATTGAGCACTAAAAGTAATATTATCCTTGTTGAATTTGTTACCAATTTAGTTTAAAAAGGAAAGCAAAGTTGTTAGCACCTCTACTTAATCTGAGTTTCTCCTTGGGTATTATTGTAATCAGTTTTTTTTTTTCGCAACTTATCGAACCTGGCTTTTTACTGATGCTTTTCTGTCCTGTTCATCAGATCAGTCCATGTAGCAGATAGAAAAAATGGAGGAGGGATGAAAGAAATGATCCACGGTGACTACATACCCCTCGACCTTGCTGTTTGGGACCGTTCGAGACAGCCATCAAAACAAACTCCTTGTGATACGAACAACGGTGGTTGTTCCCATTTGTGCCTTTTATCAACGAATTCTCCTGGATATTCGTGTGCTTGCCCAACGGGTGTAAAATTGCTGAACAGTACAACATGTGCACCAGGTATAATCAGACATTCTCTTCCCTTAATTTAAGTTGCTTATCCTCTCTATTCTAATAAAATCATTTTTAAGACGCTAGATAGACGGGGCAAGGAAGGGGAGTAAGACGGTTGATGGGCAGGAGTGAGAATGGGGAGTTCAAAGGTCAGAGTTTTTATATGATAGAGTGGGTCGTTACTTTAATAGGTCTTTATTTAGTCATGGACAGCTATATGTGGCCCTGTCAAGGTCGACTTCCAAAAAAGGAATCAAAATTCAGAGTAAGGAGAAAATCTTTAAGAATATTGTTTGGCGGAAAATTTTTCTTTGAAACATCGTTTTGTTTTTCAATTAAAATTATTTGCTCATTAACTGCCAACGGGCAATTTCAAAAATTTCGGTGGTAGCAAAGTGGCCTTTGGGGGCGCCCCGGGGGTTGGGCCGCGTAGGGGGCAGAGCCCCCGAGTTAATTATTATTGCTTAAAATTATTTCAGCCTGTGTTCAATCTCACCTTTCTTGAAGAGGGTACTGTTAAACTTCAATATAATGACCTTCACTTTTAGGACTTTTCTGATATAACACCGATTTTCGGTGGTCCGGTCATTCCAAAATTTTGGAGTCAGGGAAAAGCAAAAAAAGTCAGAAGAAAACTAAGGACTTGAAAGTATCGAATCCCTGTATTTGCATGAACCTGTTGGGGAAGATTTTGCTGTTTATTTTGCATAGCATTCAAATGAATATTCACGAGACAAATAGTCTTGTTCCTTTTCAATTCCTTGTTTCTCAGGTTTTTTTTTTTTCAACAGGTGTTCAAGAACTTCTCCTAGTAGTTCAAAGAACGGATATCAGTCGCATATCGCTGGACTCACCAGATCATACAAATTATGTCATACCTCTTACCAAAGTTAAACATGCAATGAATATCGATTATGATCCGGTCGATGGGTACTTTTATTGGACGGATGACGAGGTTTGTTTCTTCCTCTATTATTTTTTTTTTTTAATCTCAGTCAGTATGTTTGGAAATATTCCTGTTTTTTCTGTAAATAAAAATTCAAATTCCATTATTTCTAATTATTCTTTACAAAAATATCGATGGTAAAACCGCAGAAATGCGTGTATTGGTTTGTGGGGCTGCAAACTTCCTGTCATAATTTAATGCCTACATGGGAAAATACTGAATATCATTTTTAAAAAACTTCAGCATTTTTCTTTTATGTGAAGAGTATTCTACAAAAACTTCAAGCCATTGTGTTTTTTCTGTCTCCTTTTAAAAATTATAATAGGAGCAAAGATTATGAAACATTACAGCCAATATACTCATTTTTAGTGTATTTTCCGAAGGAAATACACTATTTTTCAATTTTACTGTTGATTTTTAAAGAGGCACACTTGCAGCTTATAATTTTCAGACCTCAAGATTTTCACTTGTACTTTTTTGACAAATCTTTCCAATGTCTCCTCTGCATTTCTGATGCCTCCTTTTTTTTCTATGGTACTAATTACATCCTCATCTTTAATTTACTTTTGAATTACTTTTATCATTAGAGCCTGTAGGACACCTTACCCGGCCATAGCCTCTAGCAGAAGAATAAGTGATTTTTAAATGATGTATACAAATTATTTCTAGGCAAGAGGCATACGGAGAGCAAAGCTGGATGGAAGTGGCCAAGAGGATATTATAACAGCAGAAGTTGAACATCCAGATGGTGTCGCAATTGATTGGATCGCTCGGAATTTGTATTGGACGGACACAGGCACTGACAGGATTGAAGTGGCTAAACTTTCGGGCTCTGTGAGGAAGGTTTGTGTTTGTCTTATCTATTCATATTTATTTTTTTTCTATTTCCGTTGTCAGTGCCTGTAGTATGTATTAGGATCTTAAATAAAATAAACAGTTGCCTTGTATGAAGGTTTCAGAGCTCACCCCTTTTTCCTTCTAGGTTAAAAGCAGAGAGTTATCAGGTCATTAACCAGAATGTTATTTTAACAAGAAATTTTATGGTACTAATACTGCTTCGATGGAACCAAATTGTGGATGCAATAATTTTCAAACAAAAGTGGCACTCTAACTGAAAATTCAAGGTGCTCGTGAAGTTCGATGAACGTAGCTTTCTCGGGTCATTCCTCTTGCGTGTTAAATTTGTGGATTTTGACATCCCACCTTTCCCGGGCTCAATGTTGATACTCAATAATGCTGTGTTGATCCCCTCTAAAAACTACAAAACACCACCGTGCCCCCTCCACCCTCAGTGGTCAAGAACCAGTGGTATCTGGCGTATTTGCCCCAACTATCTTATTAAGGTCTCTAACTGTTCGAATTTCTACATGCCCAAGAGTAGCGGAACTTCAGGGTTCCGAAGAGGATGGTAAATTATAGCCTTTTTGCTGCTAAGACCATTTTCCCCAATATCAATCCATCAGCATCTTTGAAGACAACAGATAAGAATCATCCGAGAAAATCACTTAAAATCGTCGTATAAAGCTCACCTCTGTATACCCTTCCCAACCTCTTATAAAACACTTGTGAGGACTCCTACTCCATAAAGCCTGAACCTTCGAGGCTTAAGGTAATTTACGTATGGCCTATTTTTGTGAAGTTATCTCAGATTTTCGAAGCGATTGTTAAATTAGCCATTTCCGTTTTACAGGTACTCATCAACAGTGATCTAGTTGAACCAAGAGCTATAGCCGTTGCTCCAGTACACGGCTACCTATTCTGGTCCGACTGGAATGAAAAGAGACCGAAAATTGAAAGAACAAATTTGGACGGTTCCGCAAGAGTTATTCTGGTGAAAGACGCCATCGGCTGGCCGAACGGTATCACATTGGATCTGGAGAATAATAAGCTGTATTGGTGTGATGCCAAAACAGACAGGATCGAGGTATTACCCTATGACATATCCATGCTGCAATTTTTGAGAGGAAGAGAGTAACAATTAATAGCAAAGCGAAATAGTCTTGACAGGGTTGCCATTGTCAGGGAATGCTGGGAAAACGGGGAAATGTTAGGGAATTTTAGAAAGTCAGAGGAAATTACTTTAATTTCTAGGAAAAATTGTTATGTCACCTTTTTTTGCATTATGGAATGGGTTTGACCTTTCAAACAACAAATGTTGCTTAAAAATTGTTTCGAATTATCTTTTTAATCATCTGGCATATCTTCAATTGTCAGGGAATTTCACCAAAGCGGAGAAATCAGGAAAATGTCAGGAAATTTAATTTTCTAAATTCTGAGGTGACTGTTTTGAGAGGTATTTAGGTAAATCTAAAAAAATTACACTTAAAAATAGCAAACCAAGGAAAGATGGAAAAGTTAGCTCAATTTAGCTTTATTATTGCAAGAGCTTGTTGTTTGCGATTAAAATGAGCCCATCAAATTGGGTCATTGATGCGACTGTTGAGTGTTGCTAATCGAAATTAAGAGGTGCCTCCAAGTTTTTATTAACTTAAATTACGAGCAGTGTATCAACAGACTTTCCGATACTCTGTTCGAATTTTATGTTGATAAAAAAATAACAGTGCCAACCAAACTCACGAAGAAAAGAGAAGAAAAGAGCGAGTGTAATGATGACTAAAGTAGGTGAAGCGGAAAATTTTTCGTAGGTCATTCTCTTCACACCTCACTAATTACCTAATTTTGTTTGTGTTAACCGTAGGTAATCAACATGGATGGTACCAACCGACGAGAGATTCTCAGTGACCTACTTCCGCATACCTTTGGTTTAAGTTTACTGGGCGATTACTTGTACTGGACTGACTGGCAACGCCGCAGCATCGACAGAGTACACAAGGTAACGAGCGTATAATTCTTATGAATTGCAACCCTTTAAAATCTTGGCAAAAGATGGTAAAATTAATGAAAAAAAGCAAAAATTCTGAAACATTGTAATAAAAATTCACCAGCGATATTTTCTATAGTCTCTTGTACAACAAACTTTTTCAGGAATTTTAAAATTAATGTATTGCTTTGTGAAGATGAGACAAAATTTTAATGTTTTTGATCATGTACTTATGCATATTTGATGTCCTCTTTTAGGTGACAGGTGATAATCGACAAGTTATTGCTGACCAGCTGCCGAATATCATGGGAGTGAAAGCAGTTGGACCTGGGCAAAATTCAGGGTGGAACCCTTGCAAAGATAACAATGGAAAATGCAGCCATTTGTGTCTGAATAAACCAGGCAACAATTATGTCTGTGCTTGTGTAATCGGTAAGTCATAACTTGTGGAATGTTGGTTTTCAAATTCAATTTTTAAACTATGGCACTCCTGCTTCTTAAGCTTTTGACATTATCTTTCAACTTTACAAAGTTTTCAACTTACTTGTGAACACTTAAAATTTGTTTCTTAAGAGAGGAGTATAGCTCTGGTTTCATTTGTTTTCCGCAGTTTATGATCTCTTACATATAAATCTTTTCACCTCATTAATTCCAAGAAACCTTTATCATTTTTCTGGTTTTTCCCAAAGTTTGCAATTGTGCCAGATATGAAATGTGTTAATGCCTTCTATCATCAAAATCTCCTTTTTTATTTTACAATGCACATGTATTTTTTACAGCATTCTTATGCAACTATGTAATCCCAAGTTACAGCTTTTGAAAGAAACAGCGCTATAAGATATCATGTTCAAATTCGGTCCTATGGAAGTTTTGGGTCGAGAAAATCAAATTTTTTGTTAAGTCACAATTTGAAAGGCATTGATTTTTGAGTGTGGGAATTATTCATTCTGCATGATAACTTTGATTTTAAAAGGATGTTATACCAATACTGTGGTCTAATTTCACTTCTAATCTTCAGGTCACGAATTAGCGGCTGATGAGAGAACGTGCGTGGTGCCTGAGTCATTCTTACTTTTTTCAAGGAAGGAGAATATTGGTCGAGTCAGCATTGAAAATAGCGGCATCGATGCTATCATACCAATCAGCGGTGTAAAAGATGTCAGGTGAGTTTTTTCAATGATGTATAATTTTTTTTAAACTTTTTTGTTTAGTAATCTCGTGAGCAAAATAATTGCTGCATCTTCAGTTTTCCACAAATTATGATGACTTGACATTTTATTTTTTTTTGAAAAGCAATGTGACAAAAACATTGAGTCATTGCTTTCTAGTCTCAAAGACAAATATCTGTGATTATCAAAAAAATGTCAGTTGCACTAATCACAGAATCAAGTTTTGATGCTTTATTCTTGCAGATTAGCTGAAAACAGTAGGATCTGTCCAGACCGCAACTTTCTACGTTCAATATTAACCGAGATATCACCCTTTGAAAAGTCGGGTTTTTGACATCATCCACCGCGGTAGTGACACCCTTGGTTTCTTCTTCTTTTGTTCGAACAGTGATGAAGAGGGCACAATGCGAAACTTTAACAAAATTGAACATAAACAAACTCAAAGAACAGACAGATTTGTGCTTTGAGGATCTTCTTAACAGGAGATAACGCACTCGTTGCGGATAGATTAGGCGGTCAGTCAGTTCACCACAGTTTGTTTGTGTTTAATGTCGTTGCGCATTGCGCCCTTTATATCACTGACCAAACAAAAGAGGAAGAAACCAAGGGTGTCACCACTGCTGTGGATGACGTCAAAAACCCGACTTTTCAAAGGGCAATATCTCGGTTAATATTGAACGTAAAAAGTTGCGGTTTGGACAGATCTTTCTATTTTTAGCTAATCTACAAGAATCGAGCATCAAAAGACGATTCTGTGACCGGCGCAACTGACCCATTGCCACCTACATGTTCTTTTTTAGTGAGGGAACTACCTGATTTTTAACTTAAGATTTGTGCTAAAGATATCGCTGAATTACAAAGGATATCCAGTTAAATACCCATCTCTCTACAAGTAATTTTATCTTTCATAAGAAAAAATTTGTGAATTGGAATACTGAAACACTGAAGGTGAGAAGTGCTCTTTTTGCACAGGAATCCTGAATTTTCATTGGTTTCAAATTGTTAAAATTTCGAGTCATTCAAAATCAATTGGAGTTACCACAAAACTACGTTTTTTTCCTTAAATTTCTATCATCTATGTAATCCTCAGCTTCAGAGGAAAAATGTGTCAAGATTTGTTTCAATTCTACTGTCAGGACTGTCTCATTTATTTGGTTTCCTATTTTACAGTGCCTTAGATTTTGACATCAGCGATAGTAGAATCTACTGGACGGATGTGAAAATGAAAGCAATTACTCGCGCTTTTATCAATGGATCTCAAGTAGAGCGCATCATAGAATTTGGGCTCCATTCTCCGGAAGGCCTCGCTGTGGATTGGGTCTCTCATAATATCTATTGGACAGATATGGGAAGTAAGCGCATTGAGCTGGCAAGACTGAATGGCAGTTCTCGGAAGGTTCTGCTGTGGCGAAATATTAATGATCCTAGAAGTTTGGCCCTGGATCCCAGAGAAGGGTGAGTGTCTATCTTTTATGCATCATAATTCTTCTATCAGTTTTTGTTTTACCTATCATATTAAGATAAAACTAGAAGTCACCCAAATTTTTGTATGTTATTTCAATGCTTATCGAAAAAAAATGAACCAGGTTGTTGTTTCAGAAAATAATGATAGTCCTGTCGAAATATATATCGCTCTTTCTTGCGTCAGAGATTTACAATTTAAGTAATTTTTCTCACCTGAAATTTTGTAAAAAACACAATGGTGCCGTCGATTTTCTCTGAAATGACTTCCAAGCTCCAAAAGCGCTCTCTAATTTGAAGTCGCAATAGAGAGGATCTCCTCGCTATGCTAATAGCTTTTTTTCAGAGTAAACCAATGGCACCACTTTCTCACAAAATTTTACGCAAGAAAAAACACTTTATTCGCAAATTCCTGATGCATGCAAGAGCACCATTGCATGATCTTTTTGTCATGAATATCCAGAATCCTGTTCAAATCCATCATGGGTTTATAATCTAGAATGCCTGAGTCAAAAGTTGCAAAATGTGTCAGTAAATAAAATAAAATAAATGGAGATACTGCAACTGATGAACTTAAAAATTCTTAAAATTAACAACTCTATTAATAAAAAACAAAGAAACTCTCACTAAGTACCCTAATTTTTTTGTTGCTTAAAATGAAAAGAAAATCTCTTTTAAGTATGTGCTTTAAGGTATTTTTAAATTTTCTTTCCAAACAGTTTTTGTTCCTTGTGTATGTCATTTGTGATTTTCATGTGTGTAACAACGGTGATCTTTTCTTTTAAAGGTACATGTACTGGAGCGATTGGGATGAAGGTGGAACCATCGAGCGTGCTGGAATGGACGGATCCATGCAGATGACGTTTCTAAACAAAATTGGACGTGCTAAAGGCTTGACAATCGATTACGTAGAGAGAAAAATTTACTGGACTCTTTTCCTTCAAAGTTCTGGTGCAATTGAAAGTTGCGACTTAAATGGCAATAAGCGTGTTACACTTGTGTCCAATGATATTGAAAGACCTTTTGCTCTGACTCTTTACAAGGTGAGGTTTTTTTTTTATCATTATTTTTTTTATTTATTCAACAATTTTTTCAGAATTTCCCTTAGATATCAACTTTTATCTAAAGTAAGACTCCTTCATGTTAGCAGTTAAAAAAAAGGTTCATACACTTGAAAAAAAGCTTTTTTAAAGTCTCAGCTTCCAATATTTGAGACTCAAAATCATGAGATACCGGAGCAAATTTGCGCCCTATCTTCGCCAAAAAAAAAAAAAAAATTATATAAGCTACTTATAAGTTATTCTTTTAGTCAGTGAAAAGTCTATCCCGGTAAAAAGAAATACGATATTTTTATTTTCCACTCAGAACTCCAAGCTTTAAGGTTGCTTTTTTTATGGCCAGTCGTACATAGAAAAATTTTATTTGATTTTCTTTCTGCCATTAATAGGAAATTTCTCCCAAGGTAGAAAGACCAGCCCAGTGCATTAGCTGAAATTTTGCATTCTTTTGCACTGTATTGGAACAGATTTTATGTAATTAAGGAAACGAAGCTTTAATTTTCCATATTCTCCAAAAGTAGAAGAAAAATAGTAAATTTTCTTTCATTAAAAACTTACTTAAGCTGGACTCAACTTTAATTCTAGATTAAATTGTTTGATGCAGCAAAGTGTTGAGTCTTAATTTGTTGTTATCTTTTTAGGACCACATGTATTGGACTGATTGGAACAAAGGGACCATTGAAAGAGCGAACAAAACAACAGGCCTGAATAGATCCATAGTACATTATCATCTGGAACATATCACAGATCTCCTCGTCTTTCACGAGTCTCGCCAGAATGGCTCGAACCAATGTGCCTTCAACAATGGAGGCTGCAGTCACCTGTGCCTTGCGCGTCCAAAACCCCAAGAACGTGCCTGCGCTTGTCCAACTCACTATCAACTGAAGAATAATAATTGTGAAGGTTTGTGTCGTAGTAATCAAAGTTCCGTTTCAAGTACATGTTTGCGTTTTTCATAGCACTTCCATGTGCTCTGCGACACCCAGCTGTAAATAAAGTGTACTTTTCTGTGGAAGAAGAAGATATATTATCAATAGCATGAACTTAAATTTTTACTTGTTGTAAGGTATCAAAGGAGTTAACTGGCTGACATTTTTGATGAAGTTGAGATGTTTGCCTATTCTAGTAAAGCTCTTTTTGGGGTATTCTTTGTACAAATTTCAACCCTTGATCTTAATTTTCATCGCTTTCAACATCTGAGTTTGAAATTAATTTGTGTTACAAGCTTCCATGTAAGTTTTTAGTTTTCAAAATGTCTCCCTGAGAGTCAGAAAAATGTCATGTAACTTTTTCATTCTTGATACCCTTGCGTCAAGGTGAACCTACCAGAAGTAAATGAGCAGCAAGATATTGAACAAATCTTTGTCCAAAATATTGTTCCCACCCTTACTGTTTGGTAAAAAGTCCAAACCACTATCTTAAAAAGCACTTTCCAGCTGTCAAGCTGTAATATTTTTGGAAAACTGTGAACTGAGGCTGAAAGTATCCAAATTTAAAATAATACTTTTATTTTTGAGGTCAAACGGCACATTTTTTTTTATTTGGATGGGGCATTCCCAGCTGAAATTTAATCCTAGACTTAATGGCTCTGTTGTTTTGCTAAAGTGTAAATTGGAATCATAATTTCAGCTCAATCAAGATGTTCGACATCTTGATGTTTTTCTCACTTTCAGCGTAGGATTATCCCTAGGTCTACTTGGTCTCTAGTCTTCGTTCCTCAGACAGGTTTCATCGTCTAACTCTAACTATCAATTTTCTCTGTTGCAGCTCCAACTTCTTTCTTGATGTTTTCTCAAAAAAGTGCCATAAATAGATTGATTCTTGACACAGTCGATTGTCCTGACGTTCCTCTACCTATTCATGGACTCAAGAACGTGCGTGCCATTGAGTTCGATCCTGTTTCGATGGTCGTTTACTGGGTAAGTGGTGTTTCATCGCATAGAAACCCCTTAAAACTCTATGATAATCATCAGCAAACTTTTCGTCTTAGCGGAGGTGTGGACACATAGAACCAAGTTTAAATGCTTCCGCACCTTATCATTTTAGAAAATTAAATTTTCGCACATGTATGCTCCAAATTTGTTGACAGCCTCATAGACAGCGCCAGTGTGAAAGAATTTATCTCAAATTTGTTTTTTCTGTCAGGAATGCCGATAGTTTCTTTTGTCCAAGTTCCTGTAAGATCTTGTGTGGAAACCATAATGTTTCTCTTACTCAGGACATGTAAATAGAAATACAGTGGAAATCGAATACAACAACCTTCTAGGGACCGGCCAAACTTGGTCGTTATATCTGATTGTTGCTATAACCGATACTCAAGAACATTGAATAAATGGGATCTCAGCCGTGGACATTTCCAGATGGCAGGTCGTTATAAACGATATGTTACTATAAGCAATGTCGCAATATCCGATTTCCATTGTATCTAAATATCCCCAAAAATTTGATTTATTAAACAAACTTATACAAAAAATATGAAAACTCTTCCAGTTTTTCTGCCTTTCCAAGCATGATCTGTGATGCAGAATTCTATGTTCTTGCATTTCTTGTAATCAGAATTTCACTGAGGTCAAAACATGAAGACGCCTCTGGAAATTTCCATGACTTAAAATCTCATTGCGCTGTTGCTATGACTTCATAGCAAACTTGAAGTGTACTTGAGAGGACATTTCTTTTAAAAGACCATCTATCGGAAAAGCAACCCTCGTGCCAAGAAACTTAAAATCGAGATGTATCGACCATGAACCCCTCAAAACTTCAGTGTAGTTTTCCCCTCAAAATTTCGGGAGGTTTAGTTTTTCTGTTCGAAAAACCATAAAAACAATCTATTAAAACCTTTCTATCAAAAATGTAATTCTATTTCGTCAATCCTGTCCAATAGAAATGACGTGCCTGAAAAATTTCTCTGTATCGCTCAAATGTCCGTTTCCCTCCCAAGACGTCCCTATTTGTATGCATCTCTCTATTCAAGTCTCTTTCAAGGACATTTCAAGTATTGACTTGAAAAAAACGTTTCACAATTTTAGCTAACAAGAGCGCCATCTTTGCAAAACCTTTCTTTATTACCTCTTTTACTAATGTAGTACATTTACATTTTTCAGGTTGATGGTCGAGCTCAGTCGATTCGGTGGAGTGAGTTAGAGGGCAGCAACACTGGCACGCTGGTTGGAGGCGGCGGTGGAACACAGTTCGTCTATGACCTGGCACTAGATCCGTACAACCGGCTGATTTATTGGAGTGATCAATCAGCAGACATTATCAACGCCACTTGGCTAGATACAGGTGCCTCGCTCGGGACGATCGTCAAATTCACCGAAAATGAAAAGCCAAGAAATATCGCTCTTCACCCAGAAAGAGGGTATGCAACTTTCCTATATTCTCATCACTTTTAACTATCCTCTTTAATAGTTTTGGTAAAATTAAAGATATGATACATTTTATGGATCGTAAAAACGTACCCTCTTCTTAGTAGCAAAAATTAGAGGGGCAAAACAGCTTTAATACTCTTGTGGGAATAATTTTCCACTCAAAAAAGTAGAGTACATTATAGAAATCTTGATTGTGTATACTCAATGACCTTCCTCATGCTTTGCGATATTCCACCCTCCTTTTTCAAGAATCTCAATTTTCTATAGTTTTTTTTCTGCCAGGTAGATACAAAATATTGCACAATGGACCACTAGACAAGGTACAAAGTTAAGCATTCTGGCACATGTTTTGTTGCCAAAATTTCACGTTGGACACGATTTGCACAATGAAAATTACTGAAATCAACTCCTAACTAAGACATTTAATGTTTCTTGACGCGTAAATTCAAACCTCCCGCTCATGAAAACACAATAGTCTACGTGAGTCAAAGTGCGCACCAAACTTTACCATGATAATGTCTGCGAAATGAAAATTTGGCAAACCTCACTCTTGACGCTTTGGCTTAGATATAGCAAATTGTTTAAAATTTGAACGATAAAGGGTAGAAAGGAACGATGCTCGATTGTGAAGCCTGCCAAAACTGTTCTTAGACGTGATATTTGACTCGCGTAGAGAATAGCGTTTCTAGTGACCGGGCAATTCAGAATTTCTGTAACCAATGTAAAATTAAAACATTAATATCTTATTTAGGAGTTGATTTCAGTAACTTTTGATGCAAGAATCGTGTTTTACGTGAAATTCTAATCATGAAACATGTATCAGAATGTTTAAATTCATACCTTGTCTAGTGGTCCATTAAAATAAAATCAATGGTGCCAACACCATCAAACTCCATAAGTGTTTTGTACTAATTGTGTGTTTTTCTTAGACTCCTGGAAATTTGCACATCTTTCTCAAAATTGGTGTAATTTGTGAATAAAGGACAGAAAAAAGTCATGTAGCTTAGAAAATTTGTGGAAGAAGGGGTATTGAAATGGGAAGGTAAATTCAAAAAATGGGAAAGCCTAAAAGTTTCTGCATCCCTCTTTAGAAAGATGCATGATACTTTGATTAGTGTCGATTTTATCAGCTTTTCATTAAAGAAAATGCATGAATTTTTATCCATGCCCTTTTTTCCCCATTTAAATAATTTGTATCACCTTTTGCACAGATATTTGTTCTGGACCGATGTCGAAGGCTCAGGGCGTGTTCTGAGAGCGCGAATGGATGGCCAGAAGAGGTTAGTTATTGCAGCTGATTTACCAAACCTGGCGGCCCTAGCTGTGGACCGGGTGGAAAATGCTGTCTTCTTCACCTATTCTAACAAAATTGATCGCACTGATTTGAATGGAAATAAAAGGTAAATTCATCTGCTTTTTCATCTCGCTTTCTTTGGTACTTTCTCTAATTTGTAAATTGTTTTGGAAGTTATCGTTGTCCCTCATTACTGTCAATTATTCTGATCTCTGAATTTATCTAATTCAACCTAGATCTTGGCAGGTTTATCAAGTAACACAAGTATAGAAAAGTTGATACATTTTTAATTTTTTCCCTCAAATTTGAAGAAACTTGTTGGTAATTCTATACATCCTGGTTAAAATGGTTCAAAGCTAACCATATTTTATTTTAATCATAAGTTTTGCATTAAAATATCAGAAAGCAGTTCATAACACTTCTGCTCATCACTGAAATTGAGGAAACATGCCTCTTAATTAAGACAGCGCAAAATTTAGCTTTTATTATTTTTTTTATTTTTCTTAAATTACTAGACTACCTATTTTATATGAAATTCAGAGAAAATATTCTTGAAAGGCCCAAGAAAATTGACACAAAATTCTGTGCAGTAACAACTATTACCGTTGTGCAAAAGTGTAAAACATGTCAGGAAATTAGCAATCTTACAAATAAACGTGTGTGGTTCTTGTAATTTTATAAGTAATTGATAGTTGTGATATAGCATATGTGTATATGTGAATAGAAGAAGTAGTTAAATAAACTTAATTCTGAAATTCTAAACATATACCGGTATGAAAGGGTTTCTTTTGGTTATACTGACTACAATTGTATTATTAAAATATATTTTCAGGCTAACACTTGTCAACGGTGGCATTTCGCAAGTAGTCAGTTTAGTTGTTTCCGGAAATTACATTTACTGGGCTGACAAAGAGCAACAATTAATCGAAAGAGCCAACAAAAGAAACGGCGAAGACAAACTTATTGTTATGTCTCGCGTGTACAACCTGTCAGATCTTCTAGCAGTTCTCACACCAACTCCTCAGGTAAATGAATAAATTTTCAAGCTTGAATGCGTCCAACTGTTCAAATTATTCATAAATTTCCAAAGTCTAAAAGTTCCAAAAAGTCCAAGCATCTTGCATCATACGTCTCACCAGGCGTTTTTGTGATTACAAATTTAAAGTCAGAAGCTTAACTCTATGTAAAGAAATTTATTCTCGTGCACCAACTCTATCGAATTCCTGCTTTTATGGGTGTCATCCATCAGTGAGTGGTTTTGCAAGATAAAATTACAAGTAAAAATATTCCTTTCAGTATCATTGAGAGTTGGGTTCAGCCTCTCGAAAATAATGGACGGATTCCCTTATTTTTAAAGTAAATTTAAGAAAGTAAGTAGGCTCCTCTATCATTTGTTTATTTATTTATGTACTTCATTTATTGTTTTCAAGCAAATGCAATTTTATATTTGGGTAATATTTTCTTTATTTTATTCCATGGTTGCCAGAAGTTCCTGAATGCTGACGTCTTTTATGATCTGGCGTTTTTACTTAACTAAAAATATTTAATTTTTCCCAATTCATCAATGTGTTGAGAAGAGAAAGTCATCATTTCTGAGAGCTGCCTTACTAGCCAAGATGTACCTCTCCTCTGTTGATGAGTATTTCATTCTTAGTCCTGTCTGTAACACACATTTCTTTCCTATTTCAGGAGCTGAGAGCGCATCCTTGCACGCATGAGAAAGGGGAAAGGCACTGCTCCCATGTTTGTGTGGTCAACAACGATCGCAGAGAGTGCGGTTGCCCTCCAGGACTTGTTCTATCCGATGACAAAGTTTGCTCTGCTTTACCTGCTTGTGGAGCAGATCACTTTATATGCGGTTCTCCGTCTCCCGATTGCATCCCGGCTGCATGGCGCTGTGATGGTCAGATGGATTGTCCGGATGAATCTGACGAGCTCAACTGTCCAGAATGTACACCCGATCAATTCAGATGCACCTCCGGTCCTTGCATTGGTGAGAGTCATTCGTTTTTCGAGTTCCAAAAAGCCTGTGACTTACTGCCGTCCATTTTCATGTAGTTTGAAACTAGAGTTCCCGTCTCCATCCCAGACTTTTACTCTCAAATTCTCAAATCCAAATCCACCATCACTTCGGAAGAAATAGAATCTAATATGTTTTAAATTTTTAAAAGGATGGGCAAATGTTTGAACTCGAGCCTTGAGTGATCTTTTTTCAAGAAAAAATTACCTACGTTCCCCTTGGAGGAAAATCAAAGAACTCTCTCCAAAAATAGTTGCCCTCTCTGTGCAATTTACGTTAAATTAATAAATGCAATTTTGAACACACGAGTCAGGAAGATTGAGGAGTTATCAGCGGTGTAAATTTCTAATTTCAGCTCTAATAGTTCTAATCCTGAAACTTTGAAGAGGGTGCCACAGTCAGGGAAAACCGATAAATGTCAGAAATGGCGCAAGTGCCAGGGAAAATTGTTAAATCACCTTTGTCTGTTTTCTAGAATGAGTTTGATGTTCCGAACAAAAAAATTTGCCCAAAACTACATATTTGTAACAATATCTTTTTAACCATCTGACATCTTCAAGTATCAAGAAATTTCATTTTCTAAATTCTGTGGCAACCATGTATGAATCTTCATCAACAGTCAGCTGATTATAACATTTCACCCAAAACTGGTACAGTCATCAAATGGAATTACACTTTTTATTTTACTGAGCTCTCAACTAAAATGATTTTGTTTGTTGGCTTGTAGGTCGGGACAAAGTTTGCGACGGAATAGCTCAGTGTTCTGATGGTGCAGATGAGGCACACTGCTGCAGTCTGGAAGTGATGAACTTCTTGAAGTTCCAATGTGCAACAACCCCTCATTGTATCCCGATGAGTACAGTCTGCGATGGTTTCCGTCACTGTCCAGATGGATCGGATGAAACTGCCACTGCCTGTCAGAGCGCAGCGCAGCAGAAACCCCAGGACGACCCCCTGAACACCTCAGTCATACTTGCCATTTCTTTCTTGATTATATTGTTCATTTTTGTTGTTTTCATGATTATCTTCAAGCTGAAAAAGAAGTAAGTATCCTGAATGAATGACTAAAGGTTTTTCTTAGGCAGTCCCGCTGGTCTAGTTCTCGACCCAACTTATTGGTAGCAGCTGAATAATGTAGAATATGCCCATTATAAACAGCAGATTGAATAAAGGCAGGGGTTCTTTTTGATGAGAAATTATTTACAAAATCCCGACGAGTGCCTCAGCAAAGTCTTGAATTCACTTTTTACCCAACAATTCATGCTTGAAATTCAGTTCGAAAAGTGTATTTTAACAAAGGTGTAATTTGATACGTATGTGTCACCTTAATTTGATAATTTCTTGCATGATCTGAAAAAAGTGGACATGATTTGGCATGTCACTTTTAAAGGGTCACATGATTGGTTTTTTTACCTCTTCCTCATGTTTTTCTCTGAAAATGTTCAGGGTCAAAATTTTCAGATTAAAAGATTGCATCCAATATATTTACCTAAAAACAGACTCTTCCATTAACATATTTTTATAGAATATAGGAGAGTATATATTTCAGTGAATCAAAAATGTATTTTTCAATCAAACCTGACAAAAAATGTGTTGACAAATACTATCTTGAAAAGTAAGCTTCCAAGGCTAAAAGTCCCTATTGCTGCAAGTATTAGTTATTGTAATCTTTAATTTTGTCTGAATGCACTGTTACTAACTTTTTTGGTTTTGTTATTAGGTATACAGAACCAGCGCCAATCTCATGTGATGATTCCGTAGCTGCACCCTTATCTCCGAAACCTATCCGGAACGGCAATAATACAAACTCTCTACGCATGACAAATCTGAATCCTGGAAGTAGTTCCGGGCACTCGGACTCCCTTCTCCGCTATCCCCTGAACCCGCCTCCGAGCCCATCCTCAACCGTACAGCGCAATGATTACCGCTCGCCTCGATATCGTCCTCCGCCACCCACGCCTTGCAGCACGGACGTCTGCGATGAAAGCGACTCAAATTACCGGGAAAACGACCCGTTTCCGCCTCCGCCGACGCCTCGCTCTCATTCCTCCGATCCACCCTCACCCTCCTCCAGTACTTACTTCCCTCCCCCTCCGTCCCCAATCAACCGGTGATTCTATCCAGTTTTCAGCTGCCTTTTTTTGTAGGAAATATTGTATTTTTTTATGTTTTTGTACCTAGTAATTTGTCCTTACTGCATGGTGTCTAGGACTGGGAGTAACCAAGATTCATCAAGGAATGAAAGATTCCAAGGAAAAATCAGGCAATCTTCCAGAAACCGGGCATCTTTTCTTCTACTGGTTAGAGTTGTTTCGTTTTCAAATTTTGCAGAAATTTAAAGCACTTATTGTTATTGAGGTTAATGGAATTGCACCGGAGCCGCCACTATTGAGCTCTTAAAAGACACATTTGAACCTTCAATTCATCATGAAAATAGAGCAGCTTTCATGGACAAGATAATATGAATTCTAGGAACGCTTTTGAAATTTAAAATTTGAATGTGCGCCTAAGAATCGGGTGAAAGATGAAAAAATTTGATATCGGTGTCTGGAACTCTGGAGATTTGTATGGTTCTTTTCAAGAAAATCCTGGGGAAATTGGAGAAAATTTTGGGTTCTCATCAAGGAATGAGCTCCTTAAAAATCAGGGTCAAAAATTCTAGACACCATGCCTTACTGTGCATCTTGTGTATCCCTTCTTGTGATAGTAATGTGTAGATCATCCTCAAGGTTGATTCACGACCAGAATCTGTCGGTAGGTTGATTTCTTTCGCTCATCGCTAGTTTTATTCGGTAGAGATGGAATGTCTAATATCATTACCTTCTAACCTAATTTTTACAAAGAGACCTTTTCTACTGCTGAATACGAATTATATCAGATAGCATCCCTGCATCCCTAGAGTGAAAATTTGTGCTTTCAGTAGTTAAATAGTTTAATAGTAACTCCAGAGCTGATATGAAACGCTGAAGCATTGTAGGCATCAAAATTAATTCTTCGTAGTAGTTTGCCATAACCATTAATTAGAGTAAGTAGGATTGTGACATATCTTGATTTGAGGCTGTTATTCTTTTCAAAAATTTGACTATCGACAGGAAGAATCATCGCTTTCAGTTTTTTGTACAGAACACTCTCTTTTTTGTCCTCACATTGAGTGCTGACTGGGATCTCATATTTTTAAATGAATGCTGTAAAAAGTTTTTGCCGTTGCTCAGCAATGTTTACATGATTTGCAAATCTGTACAGTTTTATCTGTCTCTCTCTGATTATTATATCTTTTGGTTCTTTTTCAGAAGCTTCTCAGTCTTTCAGCTTTTTCTATTTTTACGAAAACCTGTTAAGAGTGAAACCGCAAAAACATGTGTATCAGTTAAAGTATTTTAAGATTTCCACTGATAATGAGTACTTAATTTTTTTATCAGAGTGCCACTTGACATTATTTACAATATTTTCAGAGAGTACAAGAATTTTAGATAAGCAAAGAAAAGTTGTAGGAAATTTAGTGCAATAACCCTCCAAAAAAGAGAAAAATAAGAAGAAAAAAGTGGAACTGGAAATCTGTTTTATCGCCAACTGAAAGGTATGGGTTTGTGGTGCCACTTAAATCGGCGTGCACTATTTCGTACAGAAATTACCATCTGTCGACTTTTGAACTTTTCACAGAAACGCTTCAAAAAGCACCTCAGCGTTCTTTTTAGCTTTAGCGTATCTCCTTGTAAATATTCGTGAAAACGTTATCATCAATCGCTTACCAAAAAGATTGATTCAGGTATCAACGTTGTATTTATTTTTGACTTTTCGTAACGTCTTTTTGTTGGTACTGATCTGCGATGAGCATAGAGCCATTGCGAAGAAATTTTTAAAAAGAAATTCTTAAACATGTAGTAGCGTTTTCTTCGGGAAATACACAAACATTTATATATGTATAGTGAAGGAATGCGTTCAAGTAGTATAAATTCATTTTTACCCATTCTTTAATTGCCACTTACCCTGTACCCCTCTCAAATTAACCCTTTTATGAATGAATTAAAGCTGGGCATCACATCTTCCCCAAACTTTTGTTTGTGTTGTGACAAAATGTGATTGTAAAAATTTTTCCCCTCCATAAAATCATCACTTAATGTTAGGCTTTACACCCACTCCTCCCAGTCAACTACCATCACCGAAGATCTCCCTACCCTACCCTTCTAAATTCATTAAATATTACTTGAATGCTCCCTTTGTCATCTACCACGAAGGATTGTACTTCGTCCGTCCTGTTTCAGTTTTGCTACGAACGTTCTATTTTCTCATTGGAGAATCACTGCGCCAATTTGCCTGAAAATTTGGGTGTCTTTTTTTTAGCTGATGTAAAAAAAAATCAGTGAAAAGTTCCAACACATCCATGGAATGGTTCTCCTGTAAAAAGAACTCTGAATCAGGACAAGTGAGGTACGTTTCTTCAAGTAAAAAATGACGCTTTCTTTATTTTTAGCATATTTTTTATATATTTCTGCTCTTTAGTAGATAATGTATCATCTTCAGAGTTGAATTGCAAATTGACCGGGTCCAACAAAAACGGACCAAGTTGCATTTTAGATGAAAAACATAGTTGGGAGTATTTCTGGATTTAACTAGTTGTAAATTTTCTCCGTTCAGAAACTGTAGGTCAAGAAAGAATATTTTGAACATGAAAATAGTTGATTAACTTTGTTCCAATAGTATAGAATCTTATGGAGGTATGAAACTGCAAACCTCTTCTTCTCGTTCAAACTTGATGTAACTTGATGCGTTTTTGTTAAACTGGGTTCTAACAGTCTTAATTACCAATTTTAAGTAGGTATTCAAGATGGAATTTCATCAGTAGTAGATTAGAAAATGTGCCAAAAGGTTTGAACTTAAAAACGGTAACAATATCATGACGTATTTTAAATTTTTATATATTTTTGAAAATTTTTATGCATGTAAAAATCTTGTTGTGTTAACACTATAAAGACTGTAATCTTAATTTCAAGACTAATGTATAAGTGTCTGAATTCTTTGAAAGTTTCAGGTACAGGTGTTCCTTTTTTTTATTGATTGACAACTAAACACCAAATTCATAACTTAAAATTCAAATAATTTCTGACATCACAGTATGTATTTTTGTATGTAAATGTAAATTGATGTAAAAGTGTTATTTTTTAAAGACTTTCATCAGCTTCAACCAGTTATAGGTGTAACAAAACCTCGCAAAATTTCGTTTCCCCTTTCCCCCATCAAAAAAAAAAAAAAAAAATATTTAGTAGCCCTCTTTTTTTCATTGAATCCCATTAGAATTTTAACTAATTTTGTATGATTTTTTGAACTTTTCTAAATTTTCAAGTTAATCCCTATCCTAATTATTTATTTAAGAACAAGTATGTTTTTCTTAAGCATTACTCTCAGTATATATATACTCAATATACTGGAGGCGAACAGTTTGATAATCGCAATAGGAAGTATCAGGGTTTATAAGCATGCAAAACATATACTTTTATGCCTGGCTCAGGTATTTGGTAGCTTGATTCTGTTGTTATATATTCATATTTGCTTTGTTGTTTGCTTTAATGTTGAATGGGACTTAAGTAGAAGGCATAATTTTCAAAATTCTAGCAGTTCCCAGACCACCCCATGAAAGATTTACCTGTAAATGTGGAAAATTAAGTATTTTTACTTTTTTCCTTGAGTAAAAAGTTTTTCTAAAGCCTAGATGTTGGAGGGCATTTTTATACTGCTTTCTTAAGTGGGAGGTATTTATGCTGAAAAGAACCATACGAAAATGAATTATATGACGGATTAACCAGGCACACAGGATTCACGTTTTGCATGGCTCCCTTTGACATAATCAATTTTCCTTCATTCTTTTAGCATAAATACGCCCAATTGGTCTTCTAATTTGGTTATTAGTCACATATCACCTATTTCAAGTGCCTTGAATGATTTTGTTCTTTGAATAATTTTTGCAAACTTTATCAATTTTAAAACTTTCTCTGTTTTTATTCAAGGTTTTTTTGCCCCTTCATCCAAGTAAAGTTTTTCAGTGGAGCTAATATTCCAGCTATGATTAATGTTTTGTACATCATATGTTACGAAAGAAGGAAAGAAAAAAAAAAAATTCACATCGAACACTATTACGTTTCTCCTATCATCTTAACATCCGCATGTAGGAATTTTATCAGTCTACATATTGAAGTAGAAACTAAATCCCTCTTAAAAATGTTCAAGTATACTCGAGCTGCTCTGAAATACCACCCCACAGTGACATGCTTTACTTTTGACTAAAGTAAATTACTTACTTTTGAAAGTTGTAATCTGGAGACTGATCATCGTTTTTGATGATATTACTTCGGATTGAAGTCAGGTTTTAAGAATTGAATAATTTTAACGCAATAATTTCTATTTTTATGTTTTTGAAAGAAAACGAGTGTAAATGGTGTTTTTAAACTGTTCTAATTATTCTTAATTATTATTTTATTATCTTCGTTAAGTGTTATTTGTGCCAAATGTGACACTTTGAGTTTTTTAGCATGAGACCCTCTATTTTCATCAAAATATCAGAATTGCCAAGGAATTACTAAATTTGATTTTTTTGAAATAACAAAAACAAAAATAAACTGAATAATGATCGTACCTACATAATTTTTGACTTTAAGCTATTTCTTGAAAATAATGAATGAAGAACATCATTACTTTATTGTTGTAGAAATATTAACTCTCAAATGCATACTTTTTTTTGGATAAGTGTTAAATGTTAAGTTTATATTTCCGAGTGACTCTTGAATCAGGACTTCCGAAATAACTCTTCGTAAGCTTTCCTTAGCATCGATCATTCTTATACTGTGGCCATGGGTGAGTTATTCGTTGGTTTGACTCCAAGTTAGTGACCTTAGTAGCATTGACTGTCAAATTTGAACCAAAAAATTACAAAAATTTGTCAAAATATCAGCATCTCCTGCACAAAAGAATCCAGCTAGATAGCATTGTTTCATTGTTTCCTATTCAAATGTTATTTTTTCACTGGAAAGCCATCACATGGTATTGTCATTAATTTATCTTTACACTTGTGAGAAGGGACACCAAACATTTTCAGACCACTTAGTGCGATGATTCTCCCATGAAAAAAATAAAATGTTTGTAGAAATATTTAAACAGTGCAGACGAGATATGTTCTTTTATGTGGGAAATGATGATATACAAGTCAGGAAACCCTTCTTTTTATCGTAAAATTTAAGTATAATTTACACACAAAAAAAAACAGTTATGAGAAAAATTGGCATCAAAATTTTGTGAGTAAATTCTATTAATCACTTTTATTGATGCTAAACGCCAAATATACTGCCTAGCCATGTACAAAGTGATGTAAAATTCTCGTCATAAGTTACTTATTCAAAAAGATATATAACTTGTAAGAAAGCAAGGTAGCATCTGACAAAAAAATGAAGTAGAAAAAGTTTCCTAACTCAACAGATGTTTCAACAGTTCCTTCAAGTTTTCAGTTCTTTGGAAATTACAAGTTCTCCAGCTTACTTTTTCAACAGCCAATGCTACCAGGGATGAATTTTTATCAGTTTTGTGAACGATCCTCTCTCCCTTGTACCCTTATTTGGACATCTGCCTTTCGAGTAGACATCTGCTTTTATAACTTGTGCCTGACTTATTTTCTGTTCATTTTTTGTCTGTATTTGAATTTTTTCCATATTTATTTGCCCTGTGTTACTCACAATTATTTTTATTAAATGTTGAAGATTTGAATTTCAATTGCATTTATTCAATGTTTATCAAAGTGTAAATTTGTTATATTTTCTGTGAATACTTGTACAAATTGTAACTATGCCCGCGTTGTAAGGTCAATGTTAAATACAATTTAATGTTTACAAATTTTCATTCCATGAGTCTTTCATTGAGTAGATGACTTTCTTCGCAGTTGAATCTGGACCCTTAAAATGTATTTGATCACGAATAAGGAAAAAGAGATCACTGAACGATAGTAATCTACCCAAGCAGCACAGTGCAACGAAAATATTGAAATAATTTTGCAATTTAATGCAATAAAATGACAATATTTTTACATCCTTTGATCATTAAATGTCGATTTCAAACGATCGGTAAAGTGTGTTCCATGTGTGAGAAAGGTAGGCAATTTGCACAAAAGAAAAAAATAAATGACCACTTATTTCAATTTTAGTGCAATAAATTTCAATGAGAGAATACTCTTCAATTGGTGAATAGACAACATACACAACACCCGATAAAATAATAATTTTACCGCGCGATTGCACTTTTTTGCAACCTGTGCTACTTGGGTAATGTTCAGCGGTTTATAGAGCACTGCATCTCCAATCTTAGTGCCTTAGGCAGTTATGTAATTTTTATACAATATGAAGAGATGAGCCGCGCAAATCTCACTATGATGGGTTCTGCATACAAAGAATTCTTCAATTAAACAACCGTGTATAATTCACGAAACAAGAAAGGAATTAAATTGAATCAAGCGTTTTTTGAGCTGTATCATGTAGTATATATTCTCTTTTTGCCAAAATTCTACGTTGACAAAAGTATTTATTTAGGTAGTTCTTGACAGACAGCAGAGGTTAAAATGCACAGACTGCAAAATTATTTTTAAAGTGAGCTTCATGGGAAAAGCATTTCGGCATTAAAACCTTTTCTCTTAGGTTTAACTAGGCGTGGTTTTATTCTCTTCTGCTGAAATTTGTCTACTTGTCAGTCGAGGCATTTTTTGTAGAGAAGTAATCAAGGTCTGCAGATTTGGGCCGGCGCATTGAGAGCACCAGTAGACCATGTTTTAAGGGGGCTAAAATGAGATTACAGAGAAAGTGGGTTTTGAAGAAGGGAAAAAATGAGGGAAAAGGGCAGGAGAAAAGACGATGAAAGAGAAGTAAATCGATGGCTAAAGTGCGAAACCTCCCATTTCCACCGCGGTGTCTCAAAATATCCGCCTTTTTTTCTCTTTTTTTTCTTTTTTTTTTCTTTCTTTGAATTTTATGGTTTAAAATTTATAGAGAATATTTTGCTCACAGAGCCCTATGTAACTCCCTTAGAAGAGAGAGTAGGGTCAAGTTGACCCGGCTTCTGAAAAAAAAGAGAAAAAAAATCGCTGACACGACACAATTTCCACCAAATTACCGACTGTTGGTCGAGCGACCTTCAGGGCGCTTGAAAGGTTTCTAAACATTGTTTTTTTCTTTCAAAATTGATTGGGACATATAATAGCATATTTTGAGCAAACTTTACCTTAACTTTTCTCAAATTTAAAAAATAACAGACACCTCAACGCGCACTGATGACAGCGCTGCAGCGCAGAGATACAACTATATGTACACGATGGATGTCCGTGTTGCATCTGCAAAATTGAAGGCGCGATAGCGTGCAAAATAATTGCGAAAATGCAATGCTCCACTCTATGCTGCATGCTATCAATGAAATGTCACTCAGACTCGGGAGAAAAGTCAATAAGAACGAGGGCCGAACACGTCCCTTCCATCTGCGGTTGCGTTGCTCACCCCTTGAAGAACCTAGGGTAACCTCGAACTCCAGTGCTTATTGCTTTGCTTCTCGCTCCTAGAGTGGGTACTCCAGATCCTCACTTCTTATGGCAGGTAGAGTCCCTTTATACTGAGAGTCAAGACAATTTGAATCCATTTCTGATTGGTTCCCGTATTTTAGGCCTCCACAGTGTCACAAACGGGAATAAAGATTACATTTTCACCAATTGCAAAGATTATAATCTGGAATGGACCAGGGAATTACGGGTTCGGCAAGGAACAAACGGAATGAGAGGAGGAACGGAGAAAGGCATTTGAGAATGGGCCGATCAAAGATTACGAAAAACGTTCAATTTCTGTAATCTTTATTCCCGTTTGTGACATCCATGAGCCGAATTGTCTTGACTCTCAGTATAAAGGGACTCTAATGGCAGGTAACCCAATGCGACGCCATCTTGTCATACGACTGAAGGTTTGAGGTTATGTTTCCTTGTTATCATATCATATTCATGTGCCATGTGTTGAAGTTTTGTTGAAGTGTTCGTTTAAATTTTATTGTTAAATCTAGTCATGTAATAACTGTTTCTGAATTATTTTTTTAATCTATAAGTACCATGCCTGCTACGTGCTGCGTAGTGCAATGCTCGCACAATGCCAAGAATTGCAAATTAAAAAGATTTCCTGTAAATGAGGTGAGAGCGAAAGTGTGGGAACAAATGCTTCGAAGGAAAAATTTCACGCGGAAAAGTTTCCATCGCATTTGTGCCGTAAGTATGCTTAATATTTCCTTTTCATACTCTGCCTCTGTTTAATCCAGACAATCGAACTGCAACTGGTTTTATCTCTGAGCCATCACAAGCATTCGTGAACTTGATTCGGAATCAGATTATCAGTACATGATTGTAATTTTGCGTCTGATGCATACTATTGTAAGTTTATCAAATGTGCTTTCCATTGAGGAGAGTCTATGAATTTGTTGCTGTACTTCATGCACAGCTGATCACTTCATGTAATGTTATATTTACGCAATGCGAGCAAGAATCTCTAGTGTTGCCAGCTTTTGGCCAATCCTTTGCTACATTATAAAGAAAAGATTTCTTACATGGTTACTTCTCATTTCCAGTCAGGAACTCTTCATTTCAATGAATGTCTAGTAAAGTCCTTCCATTTTTGAATTCAATTTGTCTGAAAGAAGTTAAGATTAGAATATCTAATTTGCTCCTCTCCATGTATAAAAAATTTGGCTGTCTATTGACGCTCTCCCTGTTCGCTATACATTGTATATCTCTCCTGGGGGCATTTAGCTGTCGCAAGATGTTCTTAGACTGTCCCTGCATTTGGGGTAAATGTTTGCTTTGTTTATTTCTATGAGTGACATTTTTCCTTTCTTACTCTTTCACAGTGCCACTTCCCTAAAAGCCAGTTTGATGATATCAATGAAAGTCGGTTGCGGCCAGATGCTGTTCCTCTTGTGTTCCCCACTCACACGATAAATCAATGTGAATCTTTGGATGAGCCAACCTTGGTGAGTATTTTTAATCTCATGGTTTAATTGACCATTTTTTCACAGATAAGAATTTTTCCATGATTTTCCCCCCGTCTAACTTATTACTTATTAATGATCCAGGTCCAATTTTATGTTGAAGGAATAGGTAAATTTGCGATAAGTTAAAGTGATTGAGTGAGCTGTTGCTACTAGCTGTAAAGAAAAGAACCTCATATCTCTGTAGTAGACAACGTCAGGGGCTCTGTATCAGAAATTCATGAAAAATGAAAATTGTTATGTTTCTTCTATTGCTTTGCAGGATAAGTATCTAGTCAAAGAGACAAGGGAAGTGCAGCATGAGGAAATCGGTGAAGCAGAGCTATGTTCTATATTGACGGCAATCAATGAAGAAGTACAAGTGAGTGGTGGCGAACAACAAGCGCTAGTTCTTGATATTAATTCCATCGTAAGTCTACCATCATAATAATTTTAAAGTAAACGAGTCAAATGAGCCCAAGTCAAGAAATGGTGGTGGTCCGTGTGAGAAAAAATTTCTTCACATGACGATGCCCCGTAACTGATTAAGTAAGCCTGTGCCAAACAATGATTGAATATTGATAGAACTGCACTACCAGTGTATGTACAAGTTAAATTTATCTGCCTCATCAGTATTCTTGTGGTTGTCGAAATTTATGCTACGTAACATGAGTAGCCGTGCAGATTCAAAGAGGAGTTGTTGCATCAATTATCATTACTATTAGCTGTCTGACCCCTCAAATCTTTATTTCTTGTCCCAGTTCGTTCTTGTATCTACTGGGCCTTTAGTTTGTCTATTTTCATGATTCTTGTTGCTATCAACAGATATTGACTGTAGCTGAGCCCGCTGTTCTTCAGTTTATGCTTTTCACCCATGAGTGTCCAGCGCGAAGCACCCTCGGAGGTTGGGCCGCATAGCAGCGAGGAGCAGAGCCCCCTAGTAAATATATATTGTGGGTACATAGAGCCGTATGTGTGAC